GTATGATACCTTTTGTGTAAAAAGGTAGTAAACAAGGACATATATAGATTTTGCTTTTATGTGCATCAAGAACCTCTGAAAGGATGCACAAAAGCTAAAAACAGTGATCACCTAAGAGGGAGGTATGTGAACAGATAGAGGACAGAAATAGTTTCTCTTTTGAATCATGTGAATGTATTAAAATATAGAAATTAACCCCTCTTAAAAATGAAAAATAAGAAAATTGTCATGTACTGATATGGAAAGATTTCTAAGACATAAGATTAAGTGAAAAAAGTATAGAAGAGTGTATAGCAAGGTGTTATTTAAATATGTATACATATGTGTATATATATACACACATGTATATACACATATGTAGCATGTATATATGTGTTTGTAATACTAGAATTTCTGTGGCAGAAGACACTGGTAATGGGCTTCTTTCTGGAAAAGTAAACCAGACGGCTGGAGAAGGGGAAGGGATAATATGAAGAGACAGCAATGCTCACCAAGTTCTCATTTGGTGATGAGCCAAAACGTGTGAAAGTGTGAGTTATGAGTCACACTTTCTCTGGGTTATGAGCCACACTTTCTTTGTATCCCCCATTTGCTTCTTAACATTTCCTGGCCCTTTTGCAATTGGGCAGACTCACATGCATGGTTTTGGCCAATGAAACGTGAGTACAAATGATATGTGCCATTTCTGAGCTGAGATGGTGAAAGTCTATGAGTGATTCTCTAATCTCTAACCTCTGGCTTGTTCTGGTTACTAGAAAGGGGCTGAATATTCTGTGGGAGATGAGTGGGCTCAGGCAGGAGGAGCTGAGAGCAAAGGCAAAGCCTAATCCCAGTACAGTCAGTCCTCCGTGTCTGTTGTTCCACATTCATAGAGTCAACCAACCATGGATTGAAAATATTTGAAAAAAAATTAAAAATATATATATAAAATGTAAGACTAATACAATATAAAAATTATTTGCATGGCATTTACCTTGTACTAAGTATTATAGGTAATCCAGAGATGATTTAAAGTATGTAGGGGAATTTGCATAAGTTATATGTAAGTATTACAACATTTTATATAAGGGCCTCAACCATCCATAGATTCTGCTATCCCTGGGGGGTCATGGAACCAACCTCCCACAGATACTGAGGGACAACTGTGCATATGTGGCTAAAGAACATGTTCCTTATTGTGAAAAGTTTGTCCTTTCACATCAAGCTTTTCCTCTGAAAGGAACAGACAAGAGAGTGAGGAAGGAAGACGGCATCCAAATATTCAGCAACATGAAAAAATACATCCTCTGATCAGTGGACATCTCAGCCTGATTGTCCGCATTTTCATCTTCCAATTAGTGACAAATGCCTTGCCCATCGAGACCTACAGTCATTTTTTAAGTGGAGAGAAATAATTTTAACTATTTTAGCCCCAAGAACCTCTATTTTGCCACTGCTTGTACCATAATCTTATAATCTTTTCTCTCTCTGTGCCTCGTTTTAGATTATTTTTATTGTCATGTCTTTAGCTTCATGGTTTATTCTTTTGCAATATATAACCTGGCTATTTAATTCTGTCCAGTAAAATTTTCACTTCAGATATTTTATTTTTCATCTCTAAAAATTTCTTTTTTTTTTTTACCCCAAGGTTTCTATGTCTTCCATTTATCTCTTTATCGTGCTCTTATATTCTTTTAAATCCTTGAGCTTATTTATATTATTTCTGATAAGTGTTTTAAAGTTCTTGTCTAACTAATTTCATCATCTGTCGTTTTGGGGTCTGTTTCTATCAACTGATTTTTCTCTGGGTTATGAGCCACACTTGCTTGTGTCTTTGCATGTCTAGTAATTTTTTTTTTTTTTTTTTTTTTTTGAGATGGAGTCTTGCTCTGTTGCACAGTCTGGAGTGCAGTGGCACTATCTCAGCTCACTACAAATTTCACTTCCGGCTTCAAGTGATTCTCGTGCCTCAGCCTCCTGAATAACTGGGATTACAGCCACCTGCCATTAACACATGGCTGATTTTTGTATTTTTAGTAGAGATGGGGTTTCGCCATGTGCTAGGCTGGTCCCAAACTCCTGACTTCAAATGATCTGCCCACCTCAGCTTCCCAAAGTGCTGGGATTACAGGCATGAGCCAACATACCTGGCCTCTAGTAATTTTTATTGGATATTGGACTTAAATTTTACTTTGTTGAGTGCCGGATATTATTGTATTCCTTTAAAGATTATCTTTACTCTAGCAGAAAGTTTTTTGCAGATTAGCTAATATTTTCCAGACTTGCTTTTAAGATTTTTTTGTCAGGGAGTTTATCTGGAGTAGCCTTACTCTAGATCTAGTTTAGTCTCCCTATTAAAGTTTGACCTATCTGGGGTGTCTACTGAATTCTCCATGTATTCAGTAAAGTCTCTTCACTCTGGTTTGTGGGAACCTGATTCAGTCCCAATCCAGTGCAAGCTTTGAGAGTTATTTGGCTTATAGTGTCCCAGTAATTACCCTTTCCCAGCTCTTTGTTCCACCTCATAAAGTTTCATCCTTTGCATGTACAAATTGCTAGTCAGTCAAAGTCTCAAAAAGACCTCTATATAGATTTCTGGATCCTTTTTCACTGTAAAGCTCTCTTCTGTCCACTGTTTATGATCTCTGTCTCCACTCAGCAAGATCACCAGGCTCTATTTGGGTTCCCTCTTCCTGAGCTACTGCCAGGAAGTTGCTTCCAGGAAGAAAGCCAGAGCAATTGAAGGATTCGTCTTATTTTACTCTTTTCTCTTGACCATTATTGTGCTGCCCTGCCTATTATCCAATATCCGAGAATGGTTATTTCTTTTTTGTCTAGTTATCTAGGTTTTTTACTGGCAGTTGGGGAAGAGTGCAAACTTTTAGTAGTTACCCCTTAAGGGCCACAGTCTTACATTTAAACTCCCTTTTCAGGGATTATATCCATCTATATGCTTTGCACTTTTGCTGAGAACAAATAGGACCAAGATCAATAGCCCACACTGAGTTGGACTTAAGTTTTCCAACTAGGTACTAAGAGCAGTTTAACTTGTAGTAAATTTGGCAAATTTTATCTTCAGAGCCAACTGCATTTCATTTCTGAATCCTTTTATCCTCAGGTTCCTGCAGTCTCTATTCTTTCTATCAAATCTTTCCTCAGAAAGCCCAAAACATTTTAGAAGTGATCAAGCCTTAGCAGAAGAAAATGAAGCTCCAGTGCTGATACATTGCAGCAGATGGTAGAGACTTTGTGGCAGGTGAGGAAGCCATCTGGTGGGATCCTTCCACACAGTTGCCTACTTGTAGACCCAGTGGCAGTCCTGATTTCAAGCAAGTGAATTCTTTCTTTCTCTTCTCAAATAAAAACACACCTTTGCTTGCGTTGAGATCTGCTTCAGCCGAGGGCTTTCCTGTTTCTCAGCAATAAGTTCAAGTACTTGAATTTCACAAAAATTTGTGAGTGTTGTGACCCACCTTCACCTACAGGTTGTGCCATCCAAGTTGCTGGAAACCATATGCAAGCCTCCAAAGTTAACTGGACATTGTGTCTGCGTCTGTGTGGGTGGCCAGGGAACTTATACTGGGCTAATGTTCTCTTCTTGCCAGAGCTTCACAGAAGCCTTCTGCAAATGCATCATGCCAGTGTCCATGTGTGGAACCATCAGGGCCACTTGCATCATTCAGTATTGCATTATCTGAACAAATGGCCCTTCAGAATTGCAGCATTTAACTCACTGATTGAACCAGACTGTGGGTTTAAATTAATCTTTTTCTCCATATGGAGCCACGGCTTAAATTAGGCTGTTTATATCCTTGAGGAAAGTTATTATAGCTCCAGGAACACATGGCCAGATAAGAAGCATGCAAAAATCAGCCTGATATAAGTCATGTGCTTATTGAAATTTTATTCATTCTTCAGGGTTAAGATCAAATACCACTTTTTATGAGAAGTTGGGATGTGTAGTTTTGCATGTCAGCTGAGTTAGGCTATAGTACTGAGTGATTAGATTGAGTACTAATCTAGATGTTGCCGTGAAGGTATTTTGTAGATGTGGTTAACATCTGCAATCAGTTGACTTTAAGCAAAGATTACCCTCAGTTAGGCCGGTAGACCTCATCAAATCAGTTGAAGGCCTTAAGAGCAAAAACTGAGGTTTACCCAAGAAGAAATTCTGTCTCAAACCTGCAACATTAACTCCTCCTAAGTTTCCAGCCTGCCTGCCTGCCTACCCAATGGATTTCAGACTTGCCAGCCCCCACATTGCACATTGCATGAGCCAATTTCTTATTCCTTAAAATAAGTCTCTGACTCGTGTGTGTGTGTGTGTGTGTGTGTGTGTGTTGTACACACATATAAAATAGAGTTTGTTTCTCTGGAAAACCCTAATTGAAACAGAAGCCTTTTCTGACATCTCTAGACCAGAGTGATTTCCCCTTCTTCTGACTTAGCACTTAACTGTACACTACCTTTATTTTTATAATTTCATGTCTTCTATCCCCAAATATTTATAGTGTGTATTTATAATATACCCATACTTGTTAAAGGACAGACTAAACTGCTATAATTAAGAAATTCAAAAGTATAGTGGCTTTTAAAAAAATAGAATTTTCCTCTCTAAACATTCCAGAGGGTGAGCAGTCCAGGCTGACAGGGTTGCTCTGCTCTACATGGTCAGAAAGCAACCTAGGAACAATATTGTTGTTCTATTACCTCCACGGGTATTGTCTTTATTTGATAATGGTCTCAAGTTTGTCTCTTTGTATTTGAGGGAGAAAAATTTCCAAAGTCTGCACATCCAAGTCCACTGGGCTACTGCCAGTTCCCCACACTCCATCTTTCAGCCTTCTTGGCAAGGCATCTGGCAAAGTATTTTAAAAGTACTTATGTTGTTTTACCTCCTACTAACAATACTACAATTGTAATCATGTATTTCCACCACAGACTTTGCCAACCCCAATGCATTGCACCTCTCATTGCGTGTGAATGATGGCTCCTGTTCTATTCTCTCACCTTCCAACACCATGAAGTCCATGCCAGCTGGTCAGTTACTAAGAAAACTACCTGATGATTACCAAGAAGGACCTCCAGGAAACCTCAGATTGCCCAAGGATCACTGTAAGAAGTAACAGCATCAATTCAGGATCCTTTTCACTTCACTTACCTTCCTCCAATTTTTACTCACAGCTTCCTGAGTCATACTAAGAACATATTTTTTCTTCTTTATCCCAGTTATCTCCCTAAAAGAAACTTAAGTAGGGTGAACATATGGATCATATAAGACAAGTAAAGAAGCCATGGCAAACTCCAGTACTAAAGTCACTGGGTGGGACAAGTCCTGAAGGAGTGATAGTGGGGACCACCTCCCTTCAAAATGTTTTTCAGTGGGATAAAGTCATTCACTAAGGCAGAAGTTCTCAAAGTATGTGTGGTCCCTAGACCAGCAGAATAAGCATCATTGGGGAACTTACTAGAAATACCAATTCTCAGGCCCCAACAGTGTCCTGAGTTTGAGTCATAAACTCAGGGAGTGGGGTCCAGCAATCTGTTTTAATAAGCCCTCAAGGTGACTGACTTAAGCTAAAGTTTGAAAACTACTATACTGAACAAATCTTGGGAAACTTCATGTCATTCCATCTTGAGCAAAGGTCTTGGACGTAACATCCAAACTGGTTATGCCATTATCTCATTCCAGACCCAGAGAAGAAGGCACAGCCTCTGCTGGGTTCTTGGCTGTACACAACACTGTCTCAGGGGATCTCTCTGTAACACATCAACCAGTCTTCTCTTATTGCCTTTGGTTCTCATTCCCGATCTCAGAGGTTGTCTGTCAGACTTGGTTTAAGCCTCTCTGGCCAAATACTGTATCTGTTGCTTTATCCGGTCTGTCTCTTTGGTTTCTGAACAAACCTTTCCCTTGGATCATGTATCTGTTTCCCGTTTACTCCAAGTCCTGTAGCCATCGATCATTTCTGCTTTACTCCAGACCCCTCCCCGCAAGCCCCTCTTTCTGGGAAAAGGAGTCAGAGTACCAAATTAATTTTTTCCTTTAAAAAAACAAAACAAGTTAATAGGCTGGCTGAGCAGGGTAATGATATTTGTTGAATGATAAAATGTTAGAACGACAAATATTAGATATTTCTATGGAAAACAGTTATTCAGTTCCTTAGAAAATTAAACAGTTATCTTATGACCTAATAATTTTGCCATAGCTATATATACCCAAGGTGTTTGAAAACACATTCCACAAAATCTTGTACACAAATGTGTTTATAGCATCACTATTCACAATAACCAAAAGGTGGGGAAAAAATCTAAGTGACTATCAACTAATGAATGAGTAAACAAAAATGTGGCATATACATACAACGAAATATTATTCAGTTATGAAAGAAGTGCAGTTGTTACATGTTACCACATAAATGAACCTTGAAAGCATGCTAAGTGAAAGAAACCAAACACAAAAGACCACATATTGTATGATTCCATTTAAATGAAATGTCCAGAATGCACAAATAGATACAGAAAGTAGTTTAGTAGTTACCAAGGGATGGGGAAGGGGAGAATAGGGACTAGGTGCTAATAGGTATGGGGCTTCTTTCTGGGGTGATGGGAATGTTCTAGAAGTAGGTAGTGATGATAGTTGCTCACCATAGTCAATATACTGAAGTGTACATACAAAATGGTGAATTCTATGTTATATGAAGTATATATCTCAATTTTTAAATGCTATAAAAGAAAAAAAAGTTGTGTTAAGTATTGTACTTGGGCCCAAAACATCATGAGTCCTAGCAATTACTGAACAGCAATCCATGTGAAATAACGTGCGATTTTTAGTTCACTGGAGCCTAAACGAGGTAATTTTGCAATCTGACTACTGAGAACACTAAGTTGATCTTTGATTGCAATTGACAGTGTTCCAGTTAAGGAAGAAGGTAGTCATTCTTTCTGCTATGTTCACCAGAGTGGACCATTTCTAAGGTCTTGGATTCAGTTATGGACATTTAAGAATGTTGACAAAATTCAGCAATAAAAGGAGATTAACTACTTATTCATGCAACAAAATAGATGAATCTCAAAAGAATTATACTAATGAAAAAAGCCAGACACAAAAGTCTGTACATTTTTTGGTTTCCATTTATATGACATTCTGAAAAAGACAAAACTATAGGTAGCCAAATCATATCAGGGGTTGCAGATTGTCAGAGGCTGGAATTGACTGACTAGGGGCACCATATTTTGGGGTGATGTAAATACCTTGATTGTGGTGGTAATAATTACACAACTATACATTTCCCAATTCACTGAATGACATACACTTTAAAAGGATTAATTTTATTGTATATAAATAATACTTAAAAAAAAGAATGCTAATGAATTTTAAAGTGACTAATGAGTCCATATTTGGCCAGTACTTTCTCAATTTTAGCACGTGAACATCCCACATCCCTGGGGCACCCCTCAGCCTCAGATAAATTGGAATTAGAGTGGCTAGATACTGAGGAGTTTGAAACCATGAGAAAACTTAGGGGTATAAGACTAAAGAATTATCATGTGCCGGACAGACTGACCCACAGGGAAGCCCTAGATCATACAGAGAGGCAAATTTTGGCTCAAAAACCAAAGAGTGTTCTATGATATTCTCCTATAGGCAGATGGGCTGTCTTAACCAGAAGAGTGTCTATTTTCCTAAAAATATTCAAGGAGCTATCCGGGGCACCTCTAGGGTGGTGTTTTTGAAAGGAATTCATGTATCAGTAAGAAGGGGGGTTACATCATTCATTCTCAAATGGTAGTATGCAGAGCTAAGGAAGTTGTTAGAGATATAGATTCTTGAGCCCCATTTCTGGAGTTCCTGATTGGTCAGGTTTCAGATGGGGCCCAAGAACCAAGATTTTTTAAAAATTAAACTTTTTATTTTGAGAAAATTATAAATTCACATGCAGTTTAAAAAATAATAATAATAATACAGAGAGGGTCTTGTATGCTTTACCCAGTTTTGCCCAGTGGTTACATCTTGCAAAAATATAGTACAATATCAAAACCAAAATATTGACATTTATACAGACAAAATAAAAAAAGGTTTCCGTCACCTGAAGTTGTCCTTTTATAGGCACTCCCACTTTCCTTTCACTCTCACCCACTCTGGAAACCACTAACTTGTACTCCATGTCTATAATTTCATCATTTTTAAAATGTTATATAAATGGAATCATACAGTATATAACCTTTGGGGACTGGCTTTTTTTCACTCAGCATAATTCTCTGGAAATTCATCCAGGTTGCTGCATACATCAAGACAGGCTATTTGAAAATGCACAGGCCAGGCGTGGTGGCTCATGCCTGTAATCCCAGCACTTTGGGAGGCTGAAGCAGGTGGATCATGAGGTCAGGAGTTTGAGACCAACCTGGCCAAATGATGAAACCCTGTCTCTACTAAAAATACAAAAATTAGCTGGGTGTGGTGGCGGGCACCTGAAATCCCAGCTACTCAGGAGGCTGAGGCAGGAGAATCATTTGAACCCAGAAGGTGGAGGTTTCAATAGGCCACGATTGTGCCATTGCACTCCAGCCTGGGTGAAAGGGCGAGACTCCATCTCAAAACAACAACAACAACAACAACAACAAAAAAAAAATTCATGATCAGAGGAGATGAAAGAAAAAAGAAGAAAAAACAATGAAGCACACCTACAGGACATAGAAGATAGTCTCAAAAGGGCAAATCTCAGAATTAATGGCCTTAAAGAGGGGATAGAGGAAGAGATAGGAGTAGAAAGTTTATTCAAAGGTATAATAAGAGAAGTTCCCAAACCTAGAGAAAGATATCAATATCCAAGTACAAGAAGATTATAGAACACCAAGCAGATTTAACCCAACGAAGACTACCTCAAGGCATTTAATAATCAAACTCCCAAAAATCAAGAATAAAGAAAGGATCCTAAAAGCAGCAAAAGAAAAGAAACAAATAGCATGCAACAGAGCTCCAATATGTCTGGAAGTAGACTTTTCAGTGGAAACCTTACAGGCAGGAGAGAGAGGCGTGATATATTTAAAATGCTGAAGGAAAAACAAAGTTTTACTTTAGAATAGTATATCTGGTGAAAACATCCTTCAAACATGAAGGAGAAATAAAAACTTTACCAAGCAAACAAAAGCTGAGGGATTTCGTTAACATCAGACCTGTCCTACAACAAATGCTAATGGAAGGACTTAAATCAGAAAGAACAAAAATGTGAACAAGCAGTAGGTAATCACCTCAAGGTACAAACTTGCTGGTAATAGTAAGTACACAGAAAAACACAGAATATTATAATAATGTAACTGTGGTGTGTAAACTACTCTTAAGTAAAAACATTAAATGATAAATCAATAAAAAATAATAACTAGGACAACTTTTCAAGACAGAGAGAGTACAGTAAGATACAAATGGAAACCACAAAACGTTAAAAAGCATGGGAGGAAGGGTGAAGTTAAGGCATAGAAATTTTATTAGTTTTCTTTTTGCTCATTTGTTTGTTTATGCAGAGTTGTTATCAGCTTAAAATAATAAATTATAAGATAGTATTTGCAAACTTCATGGTAAACACAAACCATAAACCATACAATGAATACACAAAATATAAAAAGCAAGAAACTAGATCATATCATCAGAGAAAATTATCTTCACTAACAGGAAGACAGAAAGGGAAGAAAGAAGGAAGAGAAAACTGCTAAACATCCAGAAAACAAATAACAAAATGGTAGGAGTAAGTTCTTATCAGTAATAACAATGAATGTAAATGAACTAAACTCTCCAATCAAAAGACATGACTGAATGGATAAAAAACAAGAACCAGTGATCTCTTGCCTACAAGAAACACACGTCACCTATAAAGACACACATAGACTGAATGTAAAGGGATGGAAAATGATAGTCTATGCTAATGGAAACCAAAAAAGAGCAGGAGTAGCTATACTTATATCAGACAAAATAGATTTTAAGACAAAAACTAAAAGACGAGACAAAGGTCACTAAATAATGATAAAGGAGTTAATTCAGCAAGAGAATATAACAATTGTAAATATATATGTGCCCAACACTGGAGCACCCAGATATATAAAGCAAATATTATTAGAGCTAAAGAGAGAGATAAACTCCAATATAATAATAGGTGGAGACTTCAACTCTCTACTTTCAACATTGGACAGATCTTCCAGAGAGAAAATTAACAAAGTTATACCAGACTTAATCTGCACTATAAACCAAACGGACTGAATAGATATTTCAGAATATTTCATCCAATGGCTGCAGAATACGCATTCTTTTTTTCAGCACTTGGATCATTCTCAAGGGTAGACTGTATGTTAGGTCATAAAACAAGCCTGAAAACATGCAAAAAAAAAAAAGAAATACTATCCAGCATCTTTTCTGATCACAATGGAATACAACTAAAAACTAATAACGAGGAATTTTGGAAACTATGCAAATACATGGAAATTAAACAGTATGCTCCTGAGTGATGAGTGTGTGAATGAAGAAATTAGGAAGAAAATAAAACATTTCTTGAGACAAATTATAATGGCAACACAACATACCAAAACCTTTGTGATACAGCAAAAACATTACTGAGAGGGAAATTCATAGCTGTAAGTGATTACATCAAAAAAGAAAAAAAACTTCAGGTAGACAACCTACCAATGCATCTTAAATAACTAAAAAAGCAAGAGCAAAGCAAGCTCAAAATTAGTAGAAGAAAAGAAATAATAAAGATCAGGGCAGAAATAAGTGAAATTGAAAGGAAGACAACAATACAAATGATTAATGGAAGGAAAAGTTGGTTTCTTGAAAAGATAAACAAAATTGATAAACCTTTAGCCAACTAAGAAAAAACAGAGGAGATCCAAATAATAAAAACAGAAATGAAAAAGGACATTACAGCTGATACTGCAGAAACTTAAAAAATCGTTAGTAGCTATATGAGCAACTATATGCCAATAAATTGGAAAATCTAGAAGAAAGGGACAAATTTCTAGATACATACAACATACCAAGATTGAACCATGAAAAAATCCAAAACCCAAACAGACCAATAACAAGTAACAAGATTGAAGTCATAATAAAAAGTGTCACAGTAAAGAAAAGCCCAGGTCCCAATGGCTGCAATGCTTAATTCTAGCAAAGATTTCATGAAAAACGAATACCAATCCTGCTAAAACTATCCTAAAAAATAGAGTAGAAGGGAATACTTACAAACTCATTCTGTGAAGCCAGCATTACCCTGATACCAAAACCAGACAAAGATATATCAAAAAATAAAACTATAGGCCAATATCTCTGATGAACATTGATGCAAAAATTCTGAACAAAATACTGACAAATCAGATTAAAAAGATCATTCATCACTCTTTCTGTGCCTAGCACAGCCATGGCTTGTGGTCAAGAAGCATCTGAAGCAAGTACCAGCTCCAAAGCATTGTATGCTGGATAAATTAATTGGTGTGTTTGCTCCTCATCCATCCACCAGTCCCCACAAGTTGAGAAAGTACCTCCCTGTCATCATTTTCCTAAGGAACAGACTTAAGTATGCCTTGACAGGAGATGAAGTAAAGAAGATTTGCATGTAGTGGTTTATTAAGATCAATGGCAAGGTCCAAACTGATGTAATCTACCCTGCTTGGATTCATGGATGTCATCAGCATTGACAAGACTGGAGAGAATTTCCATCTGATCTATGACACCAAGGCTCACTCTGCTGTTCATCGTATGAATCTGAGGAGGCTAAACACAAGTTGTGCCAAGTGAGAAAAATCTTTGTGGGTACAAAAGGAATTCCTCATCTGGTGATTCATGATGTTCACACCATCCACTGCCCTGATCCCCTCATCAAGGTGAATAACAGATTCAGATTGATTTGGAGACTGGTAAGATTCCTGATTTTATCAAGTTCAACACTGGTAACCTGTGTATGGTGACTAGGGGCGGGGGGGTGTGCTAATCTGGGAAGAATGTGTGTAGTCACCAACAGAGAGAGATATCCTGGATCTTTTGATGTGGTTCATGTGAAAGATGTCAATGGCAACAGATTTGTCACCCACCTTTCCAACATTTTTGTTATTCGCAAGGGCAACAAACCGTGAATTTCTCTTCCCTGAGGAAAGGGTATCTGCCTCTCCATTGCTGAAGAGAGAGACAAGAGACTGGCAGCCAAACGGAGAAGTAGGTGAAATGGTCTTTAGAGACATGTTAGAAAGCTTTTTGTACTTAATTAAAGATAATATAGCATGAAGAAAAGATCATTCATCATGAACAAGTGGGATTTATCCCAGGAATGCAAGGATTGTTGAACATACACAAGTCTATGAATATGATACATCATACCAACAGAATGAAAGACTAAAACCATATGATCATTTCAACTGATGCCAAAAAAAGGATTTGATAAAAGTCAACATCCCTTCGATAAAAGAAAAACCCAAAAAAACTGGGTATAGAAGGAACATAACCTCAACATAATAAAAGCCATATATAACAGACCCACAGCTAGTATCATACTGAATGGGGAAAAACTGAAAGCCTTTTCTCTAAGATCTGGAGCACAACAAGGATGCCCACTTTTGTCACTGTTAATAAACATATTACTGGAAGTCCTAGCTAGAGCAGTCAGAGAAGAGAAAGAAATAAAGGGCCTCCAAATTGGAAAGGAAGAAGTAAAATTATCATTGTTTGAAGATGATACGATCCTGTATTTGGAAAAATCTAAAGACTCCACACACAGAGACACACACACACACAAACTATTAGAAGATAAAGAAACTCAGGAAAGTTGAAGGATACAAAAATCAACATACAAAAATCAGTAGCATTATTGTATGTTAACAGCAATCTGAAAAATAAATCAAAATAGTAATCTCATTTACAATAGCCACAAATAAAATAAAATACCTGGGAATTATCCAAAGAAGTGAAAGATCTCTATAATGAAAATTCTAAAATAGTGATGACACCAAAAAAAAAAGAAAAGAAAAACAAAAGAAAAGATGTATCATGTTCATGGATTGGAAGAATCAGTATTGTTAAATGTCCGTACTACCCAAAGTAATCTACAAATTCAATGCAATGTCTATCAAAATACTAATGGCATTCTTCACAGAAATAGAAACAACAATTCTAAAAAGTATATAAACCACAAAAAAACCCAGACTAATCAAATCTATCCCAAGCAAAAATAACAAAACTGGAGGAATTACATTACCTGACTTCAAATTATACTACATCAAGATAGGGTAAGAAAAAAAATTATACTACAGCGCTATAGTAAACAAAACAGCACGGGACTGGCATAAAAACAGACATATAAACCAGTGGAACAGAACAGAGAGTCCAGAAACAAATCCCCATACCTACAATGAACTGATTTTCAACAAAGGTACCAAGAACATATACTGGGTAAAAGTCTCTTCAATAAATGGTGCTGGGAAAAATGGATATCCATATGCAGAAGAAAGAAACTAGACCCCTATCTCTTACCATAAACAAAAATCAAATAAAAATTGATTTAAATACTTAAATCTAAGATCTCAAACTATGAAACTACTAAAAAAAATTGGGGAAAGTTTCCAGGACATTGGTGTAGGCAAAAATTTCTTGAGTAATACCCCACAAGCACAGGCAACCAAAGTAAAAATGGACAAATGGGATCACGTCAAGTTAAAAAGACTGCACAGAAATGGAAACAATCAACAAAGTGAAGAGAAAACTACCAGAATGGGAGAGAATATTTGCAAGCTGCCCATCTGACAAGGGATTAATAACCAGAATATGTGAGGAGCTCAAACAACTCTATAGGGAAAAATCTAATAATCCAATCCAAAAAATGGGCAAAAGATGTGCAGACATTTCTCAAAAGAAGACATACAAACAACAAACAGGCATATGAAAAAGTGCCCAATATCATTGATCATCAGCAAAATGCAAATCAAAACTACAATGAGATATCATCTCACCCCAGTTAAAATGGTTTATATCCAAAAGACAGGCAATAAGAAATGCTGGCAAGGCACACACTGTTGATGAAAATGAAATTAGTACAACCACTATGGAGAACAGTTTGGAGGTTCCTCAAAAATCTAAATATAGAGCTGGATATATACTCAGAAGAAAGGAAATCAGCATATTGAAGAGTTATCTGCACTCTCATGTTTATTGTAGCACTGTTCACAATAGCCAAGATTTGGAAGCAACCCGAGTGTCCCTCAACAGATGAATGGATAAATAAAACGTGGTACATATACACAATGGAGTACTATTTAGCTATAAAAAATGAAATCCTGTCATTTGTAACAACATGGATGGAACCAAAGATCATTATGTTAAGCGAAAAAAGGCAGGCATGGAAAGACAACCATCCCATGCTCTCATTTATTTGTGGGATCTAAAAATCAAATCAACTGAATTCATGGAGACAGAGTAGAAAGATGGTTACTAGGGGCTGGGAAGGTTAGTGGGAGGTTAGGAGGAAGATGGGGATGGTTAATGGGTACAAAAAATAGTTCGAAAGCATGAATAAGACCTAGCATTTGATTGCACAGCAGGTTGACAATAGTCAATTTAATTGTACATCTAAAAATAACTAAAAAAGTATAATTGGATTGTTTGTAACACAAAGAATGAATCCTCGAGGGGATGGATACCCTACTCTCCATGATGTGATTATTACACATTGCATTCCTGTATCAAAACATCTCATGGTCCTTATGAATATATACACTTACTATGTACCCACAAAAAAAATATTTTCTTTCTTTTTATTGTCAAGTAGTATTCCATGGCATGGATGTGCCACAATATGTTTAACCAATTATTCACCTGGTGAAGGACATCTAAGTTTGTTCAAGTTTTAGACCATTATAAATAAAAATATATAAACACTCATTTGCAGGGTTTCGTTTGGTTTTGTTTTGTGTTTTTGAGAGTCTCACTCTTTGGCCCAGGGTGGAGTGCAGTGATGTGATCACAGCTCACTGGTGCTTCAACCCGCCAGGCTTAAGCAATCCTCCTGCCACTGCCGCCTGAATAGCTGGGAGTACAGGGAAACACGGCTACATGCAGCTAATTTTTCATGTGCAAGTTTGTATATTAACATTAAATCTTGATCTCTCTGGAATAAGCACCCAAGAATGCAACTTCAGGGTGATATGGTAGTTGCATGTTCAAGAAACTGCAATATTGTTTCCATAATGTTTTCCATAATGACTGTACCATTTTACTTTCCTCCCAGCAATGTGTGAGTGATCTAGTTTCTCCACATTTTTGACAGCATCTGGTTTTGTCACTGTTTTTTATTTAAGCCGTTTTGTTACGTTTGTAGTAATAGCTCATCATGGTTTTAATTTGTATCTCTAATGGCTAATGACGTTAAATATCTTTATATGTTCTTACTTGACACCTGCATATCTTCTGCTATGATTTAAATGTTTTTGTCCTGTGAAACGCATGTTGAAATTTAATCCCCAATGTAACAGTATTAAGAAATGAGAACTTGCCATGGATTAATGGGTTACCATGGTAGTGGGTTAGTTAACACAAGAATGGGTCTGTTATAAAAGCCAGTTTGACTCTCAGTGTGCCCCTCTCACCTTGATCTTAGACTCCCCAGCCTCTAGAACTATAAGAAATTTCTAGGCCAGGTTAGGTTGCTCACACCTGTAACCCCAGCACTTTGGGAGGCTGAGGCAGGAGAGTTGCCTGAGGTCAGGAGTTTGATAGATCAGACTGGGCAACATAGTCGACCCTGTCTACAAAATTATTTTTTAAATTAGCCAAGCATGATGGTGCATGTTTGTAATCATAGCTACTTGAAAGACTGAAACAGGAGGATCTCTTTTTTTCTGAGATGGAGTCTCATTCTGTCACCCAAGCTGGAGTGCAGTGGTGCAATCTCAGCTCAGTGCAACCTCCGCCTCCTAGGTTCACTCCACTGCACTCCAGCCTGGGCAAGACAGGATGTTGAATTATGAATTCAGTTTACTTAGTACCTGTACAATGTTTCACATTCTCTATTTCATATTGGATGAATTGTGCTTTTTAAGAACTTGATTCATTTCACCTAAGTTGCCAAATTTCTGAACATAGAATTTTTCTTCATATTCCCTTATTACTCTTCTGGCATATGCAGGTTCTATAATGATATCCATGTTTTCTTCTTGATATTAGTAATTTGTGTCTTCTCTCTGTTTTTGCTTTTCAGCCATGCTAGAGGTTTGTCAACATTATTGATGTTTTCAAGGAAACAGTTCTTTGTTTCATTGATTTTTTCCTTTTTTTTTTTTTTCCGAGACAGAAGCTCCCTCTGTCACCCCGGCTATAGTGTAATGGTATAATCACAGCTCACTGTAACCTCAAACTCCTGGGCTCAAGTGATCCTCCCACCTCAACCTCCTGAGTGGCTAGGACTACAGGCATGTACAACCATATCTAGTCAATTTTTAAAAATTTTATAGAGACAGAGTCTCACTATGTTGCCCAGACTAGTCTCATAATCCTGGCCTCAAGCAATCCTCCTGTCTCTGCCTTCCAAAGTGTTGGGATTACAACTGAGAGTCACTGCACCCAGCCCATTTTTTCATTTTCTAAAAGCTTTATTGAAGTATAATTGATAAAACTGTATATATTTAAAGTGTACAAGATGATGATTTGATATATGTATAGATTGTGAACTGATTACCACAATCAAGTTAATTAACATAATATCACCGCACACAGATACCTTGGCCAGCTAATGTGTGTGTGTGTGTGTATGTGAGAGAGAGAGAGAATGAGAGAGAGAGAGAATGCTTAAGATGTACTCTCATAGCAAATTTCAAGTATACAGAACAATATTTTTAAGTATAATTCTCACACTGTACATTAGAACCTCAAATTGTATTCATCTTACTATTGAAGGCTTGTACCCTTTGCCCACCATCTCTTCATTTTCCCACAGCCCCAGTCCATGGGAACCACCATTCTACTCTCTGTTTCTATGAGATCACAATGGCAGTATTTCCTTCATTTTATGGCTCAATAATATTCTATTATACATACATAACACATTTTTTATCCATTGATAAAATCCAATCCAATGTTCATCCATCCAATGAACATGGGAGTGTAGATATCTCTTTAAGATACTGATTTCCGTGACTTCAGAGATATACCCAGACTTGGGGTTGCTGGATTATATAAAAGTTTTATTTTTAATTTTGTAAGGAACCTCCATACTGTTTTCTATAGTAGCTATACAATTTACATTCCCACCAAAAGTTTGAGGTTATTTATCCCACCATATTTGCAACACTTGGTATCTTTTTTTTGAGATGGGTTAGTCATCGGCCTCTGGTCAACCACAGGGCTGGGAGTGGGCAAGTGGGCTGTTGTTTTTTGTTGCTCCGGGTTTAGCATTTTCGCTGTTGTTTTTTTTTTCCTCCCGAGTGCTGGACTTCAGCGGCCCGGCCACCCTCGCCCGGTAGTTTTGTTATTTTTTAGTTGAGATTGTTTCTGTGCCAGGATGGTCTCGATCTCCTGACCTCGGTGATTTTCCGGCGTTTCGTTCCTCTCCCAGTGGCGGTAAGGCGCTACTGCTCCGGCCTTTTTTTTCCCACTGGATCTTTTGATTATTTTTATTACAGAATCCTAAAGATGTGAGATTATTCTCTAATTGTTGGTTTTTGTTTTGCATTTCCATGATGGTTAGTGATGTATGTACCTCTGAGTGGCCATGGTATTTTCTGAAAAATCCCATTCAGGTCTTTTCGCCCATTTTGAACAGGATTATTTGTGTTGTTGTTTTTGTTTGTTTGTTGTTTTGTTTTGCTATGAGCTGTATTAGTGCCTTTACATCTGTTGTTTAGCCCCTTACATCAGATATATTTTCTTCCCAGTTCTTTAGTCTGCCCTTTCTACTTTGTTGTTGTTTTAGTTTGCTGTGCAAAAGCTGTTGTTTTTTTTGTATTGTTTTGTTTCTTT